CACTGGCCACACAGCCCCACAGCATGACGGAACCACCACCATGTTTTACTGTAGGTAGCAGGTGTTTTTTTTTTTTGGAATGCTGTGTTATTTTTCCTCCATGTATAATGCCCCTGGTTATGCATAATGACCCTGGTTATGCCCAAATAACTCAATTTTAGTTTCATCAGTCGACGGCACCTTATTCCAAAATGAAGCTGGCTTGTCCAAATGTGCTTCAGCATACTTCAAGCAGCTCTGTTTATGCCTTGGGCAGAGAAAAGGCTTCCTCTGCATCACTCTCACATACTTGTAGAAAGTGTGCTGCGAAGCTGAACAATGCACAATGACTCCATCTGCAGTAAGATGATGTTGTAGGTCTTTGGTGCTGGTCTGGTGGTATGCTCTGACTGTTCTCACCATTCTTTGCTTTTGTTTATCTGAGATTTATTTTGGTCTGCCACTTGAAGCCTTAACTTGAACTGAGCCTTCCATTTCCTCAGTATGTTCCTAACTGTGGAAATAGAAGCTGAAGTCTCTGAGACAGCTTTCTGCATCTTTCCCCTGAACCATGATGGTGAACAATCTTTGTTTTCAGATCTTTGAGAGTTGTTTGGAGACCCCCAAAGTTGTTTATCAGCAGCGGGTCTCACATTTAGCTGACTCTGATCTGTTTGAGGTTTTCCGATCAGGGTTCAGGTCTGGCCATAGCACAGAGTCGGCTCTACTGAGGGTCTTAAATTATATCTATCTATCACTTGATCAGGATACATTTGTGGTGCTTCTGTTGTTAAATCTGATGGCAGCTTTTTACACGGTTGACCACACGATTCTGCTTGATCACTTGGAACGATGGGTTGGGATCAAAGGGTCTGCTCTGGATTGGTTTAGATCGTATCTCCACAACAGGACATTCTGTGTTAAACTAGGTGATGTTTTTTCTTCTTGGGAGGGGCTCCACTGGGGGTCCCGCAGGGCTCAATCCTTGGTCCTCTTTTGTTTGCCATTTTTCTGCTTCCTCTGGGGTCAATCTTTTGTAAACATGGCCTAGTGTTCCATCTTATGCTGACGATTGCCAGATTTACTCTCCATCGTGTCAAGAGAAAGGTCTCTCCATCCAGTCATTTGTGTCCTGTCTTAATGAGGTGAAGTCTTGGCTAATGGCCAACAATCTGCATCTAAATGAAGGAAAAATAGAGCTCATTGTTTTTCACCCCAACAGCAGGGCTGCGGGTCGCAATGTTGATCTTGACCCTCTTTCTCCCTGTTTAAAACCAGTTGTCACCAGTTTGGGGGTGAAAATTGACGCAGGACTTCAATTTGATGCTCACATCAACTCTGTGATCCGGTCCAGTTTCTTTCATCTGAGACGCCTTACAAAAATCAAGACTATGCTGTTGAGAGCCCACCTGGAGCTGGTACTCCATGCTTTTGTAATTTCTAGGCTTGATTACTACAACTCTCTATATGCAGGGTTGTCAGTCATCACTGCGTCACTTACAGGTTGTGCAGAACAGCGCAGCCAGGTATCTGACTGGGACCAGGAAATGGGACCACATCAGTCCGGTTCTGGCCTCCCTGCACTGGCTTCCGGTCTGTTATCGTTCACACTTAAAACTCCTGGTCTTTGTTTTCAGTTTCTTCCAGGGTGGTGCTCCCCCCTATCTTGCCACACTCCTGAACAGACATTCCCCATCACGCGCTCTGCGCTCCTCTGACCAAGGCCTGCTCGCTGTCCCTTGCTCTAGGTGTCGTACTCGTGGGGACCGGGCTTTCTCAGTCCTAGCTCCGTCACTCTGGAACCTAACCTGGCAAGCCAGACTAAATAAATGTATTATTTAGTCTGGCAATGCTCCATTGACGGCTCTCGGTTGTGGGGCGGGTTCTACCGTTGTCTTTCAAATGATCTCCGCATGCTACTGGACAATGAATGTGACATACTCTTGTTTCACTCTGTTGCATCATCCCACCCACCATGCATATAGAGTGACCTGATTGGCCCACAAAGCAGATAAAGCTCTGTGATTTGTTCACTAAGCAGATAGAGCACTATGACTGGCTCACCATTATGGACCAATCACAGCTCTTTATGTGTTTGAAACCCCTCTAGAGAGCTGTGATTGGCCAGCCAGAATGCTGTTGGGGCTGCAGAGGTTCCAGTGGAGCATTCCTAGACCAAACTTTTCAAAGCAAGAATTTGGTCTAGTTCACTAGGCTATCTGGAACCAGTTGCCACCTTCAGTTAGGCTGTCCCCATCTCTGCCAGTCTTTAAGAGTCGCCTAAAAACCCACCTCTTCTGCTTGGCATTCCCTGAACGTGTTTGAGTTTGGCCCTCTTTTATGTTGATTTTATTTCCCTGCTTTCATTTGTCTCTTTATCCCTTGTTTTACCCATTTGTCTTCTACTAGAATGTTTTACCTTTTTTGCACTATTTGAATTGCTTTTATTATTAATTTATTCATCATGTTTCACATTTCTCATGTACTGTGTTCAGCTCCTTGGGCTTCCCGACATGGTCGTGGAAGGCGCTTTATAAATAAAGCATTGATTGATTGATTGATTGA